CCCGTGTCCCCTGCATCGGCAGGCGGACTCTCAACCACTGCGCCACCAGGGAAGCCACAGGACCTTGTTGTTTATCCATCTTATAGATAATAGCTTGCATCTGCTAATCCCAAACCCCCAATCCATCCCTCCCCACCCCATCCCACAACTCTGTAAGAACAGTTTTACATTTTTAAATGGTTGGGGAAAACAAAAATCAAAAGAAGTCATGTGAAAATCCTATGAAATTCAAATTTCAGTGTTGATAAATAAAATGTTATTGGAGCACTGCCACGCTCATTCATGCTCCAATAGCCGGGCTGAGTGGTCACGGCTGAGCCCACAAAGCCATATTTACACAGATTTACTAGCTAGTCCTTTATAAAACATTTGCCAGTCTCGGATCTGGACTTTCTAATTCTTTTATAGTCAACACAAATTACTTGTTTGTTTTAATGATAAAGGAAAAAAAAATCAGAGATTGTTTCTCTATTGTCAGCATTTATCTACTCTGGGCCTCCAGTCCTTCCTCTTTCTCTCATTTGCTTCCTGAATCCAATTGACAGTGCTCAGCCCCTCCCAGGAGCACCGAGGTTGGCTCAACTATTTCCCCATTTGAGAGATGGGAACATTGAGGCCCAGAGAGGGGCAGGACTTGCTGGAGACCACACAGCCTTCTGAACCTGTCTCCCCGCCTGGTGCTCCTGATACTGCAGCCCCTCTGCCGCGACCCCCAACTCACACGCCCATGTTCCTGGCGTCCGCGTTCGCCACCCGCACCTCGGGGCCCAGCAGTTTCACAGACAGGTACTCGCTGCCATGCTCTGCCAGGAACTGCTCCACCTGAGTCTTATGTTGCTGCTCCTGGGGGTGAGGGGATGGAGGGTGAGGATGAGGCTTCACCCCAGGGACCACAGCACCTTCTGTTACTGCAGGCTGCTCTCCATCATTCCTGGAGCATCCCTGGCCATCTGCTTTCCTATCCCCAGAACTCTGCCCACGCCAGACCTTCTGCCTGGAGTGCCCTTCCTGGCCATCCTTGGACCATCCTCCTCTGACCAGGCCAGGCCCACAGGCCTCTTAAGAGCCTCTGTCACCAGGACAGTGCCCCTCACCCCACAAGCCACACACCCATAGTCGCTGATTCTGCTGGGCCAGGGTGTGGCCCAGGGGGGTCTGCTTTGCTATAAAATGCTCCAGGCGATCTTCAAAGTGCACTCGGAAAAACAGTTTATACCTGGAGCCCCTGCACCGGGAAGCGGAAGGAGCAGGGTGTTTAGAAACAAACCCAGGGTTCAGAGAGAAACCCAGCTCTGCTCCGATTCGCTGCATGAACTTGGACAAGTCACTTCACCCGTCTCAGCTTCAGTTTCCTCCTCTGTAAAATGGGAGGGCGATCATGCCTCCCTCACGGGGTCACTGCAAGGACTCAACAAGGCAGAGCACAAAGTAGGTCCTCAAAGACTGCCTGGAACAGTTCTCTTTTTCTATACAAAGTCACAGTTCATGCGTGTGAGGTTTGATGTCTCCAGGGAAGCTGGGAGCCTCCCAAGGGCAGGGCCTACACCCTCGTCCTGTTTGCAGGTGGCACAGTTGAATGAATGTCTGTGACCCACGCAGAGCTGAGCTGAGTGGGGGACCACAGGTCCCTGGGGGTGGGGTGCAGACAGTCAGGGCCGAGAGGTCTCGGAAAGGGGTGGCCCTAGACGGGGCAGCTGAGAAGACTCTAGGGAAGGCAAGGAGGCTAAACAGCAGGTAGAATTTGGAGAGCGTATCTGGCTTCCCTCAGCAAAAGCTGAGAGGTGGGACTTTATCTGGCTGGGAAGGAGAGGCAGGCAAGGGAGGGAGCTAGCCCTGCGAGCCACAAAGTAGCAGGCCTCCAGGCCCTCCCCGATTCCTCAGAAGGTACTCAAAGAATGAAAACCAATTTGACCATCACCAGGTCAAATCAGGAAAGACAGACTGGACCAGGAAGGGAAACAATGACAATGACATCAGCTGAGAGCACCTACTATGCAACTTGTTTAACCCTTGCAGGAATTCTACGTGGCCTGCTCTAACATTATCCCTATCTAATAGACCTAAGAGATGAGAAAACTGAAGCCCAGAGAGGTTGAATAACATGCCCAAGGTCACACAGCTAATATAAGCAGTGATATTGGGGTTCAAACCCGGCCAGTCTGACTCCAGAGTGAACCCAGCAACTGGGGATACAGCCCACTGCCCACTTCCGTTTGGCCCAGACAACCCTCGTTCAGTCACTTCCTCAGAGGTCTCAGGGCGTCTTGTGAGGCTGAGCCCTTGACCCAAGCCACACGGCGACCCCACCAAGTGCCTGCTACTCACATGGCTGTGAATGAAAAGCCACAGCCGTTTCCGGGGGTAGTGGAGGCGCAGGAGACGCTGGAAGAACAGGGACAGGAACGGCGTGGGCTGTTCGATGAACACACCAACCAGGACCGTGGGCAGAGCTTCATCCTGCATGGGGAGAGGGCGGCACAAGAGTCCGGCGATGTCCAGCCACTGCGCCACCGCTGAGCCCCGAGGATGGCCTGAGGGATCTGGAGCCACAGGCAGACGCTTGCGGACTTAGCAGGAAAGGGGCCTGGGACGGGGCGCTCCAAGCAGGATGTGCAGATGGCAGAGGCAGGGACTGGCAGGGAAGCAGCAGGAGGCTGTCCCTGCCGGGGATGAGAGCAGCGTGAGCCCAGACTTGGAGCGAGGACAGGTTGACGGCACGCCGTCGGGAGGGCTTGGCTGGCATGGGGTCTGAGGTGGGCCTTAAATGAGGAGTAAGTTTCGTGGGATGGGGAGAAGGCTGCAGGAGTACCCGAAGGACCAGGCAGAAGAAACCGGAACGTAGGCATCTGGGGGAAGCTGGAGCGTGTAGTTTGAGAAGGTTTCCAGGAGGAGGTGCATAGGTGAGGCGGGGGAGGATGGAACCCCAGACAGGGAGGTGACCCCTTTACCTCCCACCAAAGACAACAGAGTCTCCAGAATCCACCATCCTCCCCTCCCCGAGGGACGGAACCCCGGGGTCCAGCAGCCTCACCCCGATGCCCTTGAGGCTGCGCAGGCCCTCATCACACACAGCACATCCCGTCTCAAAGGTCCAGAAGCGTGGGATGTAGTTGCCCAGGTAGTTCAGCTGCAGCTGTGGGGAGACGAGGGGTCTGAGAGGAAACAGGCTCAGCACCCCCCGCCCCCTCCAACCAACAAGGCACATCTCCCTGGGCCCCTTGTGGGCCTGCACCCCAGCCTCCCCTAAGGGGACAGAAATGTGGCTTTATTTGGGGTGGGACTTGGAGAGCATGTCCGTTCCCCTGGAGATCACCAAAGCTGCTCTGAGGGAGGGCCAAGGGAGGACTCAGCGCTCTGGTGCTTCTTCATCTTTGGATCTCCTGGGAGCTTGTAAAATGCAGATTCCTGAGCCCCACCCCTGCAGACATTCCAAATGAGCAGCTCTTGGGTGGCATCAGGAAATCTGCATTTGAACACCCTCTCCTTCCCCTCCGTCCACGTGATTCTGACGAGGGTGGTCAAGGACCACACTCCAAGAAATGTGCTGTGATCCAGGGGCCCGTTCCCCAGGGGCCAGTTGGGTCTGGCCTGCTCCCCCGCCCCTTCTGTAGCTCTGAGAGCACAGGGAACAGTCTGTCCTGTTCAGGGCTGGCGGGTCCTCAGGCCCTGCTACAAACATTCAATCGATGTTTGTTGAATGTAGAAACAAGCCTGCCCGGGAGTGGCAGAGTACAGATGACTCAGGGCAGCCCAGTCTGGGCCTGGATACGGACAGGAGCCTCCTTTGTGGTCCAGCAGAGATGGACAGGGCATCACCAACCACCACAGTAAGGAGAGAAGGCACCACACTGAACTCAGATGTGAGGTCAGAGGCAATGAGTGGGTCCCAGGTGGGTGGCCCTGACCCCAGGGAGAAGCTGTGGTGTCACAGTGGGAGCACAATTGGGATTCTGGACACCCATCCCACTCTCCCCCCGGGAGCTGGGGCCCCTCCCTACCTTGGTAGGCCCATTGCCATGAATCAGGACTGGGAGGGTGTCGTAAGCCAGGTTCCTTGCTCTCACTTGGCCCATTTCAAACTTGAGCACCACCTCATCTGTGGGGGCAGAAAGCAGAGACCTGTCCAGCATCAGGCCTACAGGCCAAGCTCCAGGGCTGACAGGATGGGCTAGAATCCGAAGCCTCCCCCAGTGAGGCCCTGGGCTAGTCACTTCACCTCTCTGAGCCTCAGTTTCCTCATCTGTAAAATGGGGGTTAGAGTGGGAGGATTCCGTGTCCTGCGAGTACTTAGCACCACGCCTGGCATGTGGTAAGCATGGAATCCATGGCAACCCCTACTGTTTGTTGTGATTACTTACTAGAGCCAGAAGCAGAGGATGGGAGCAAGCAAAGACCTGAAACATCCCAGCTCCAGGTGCAGTTCAACCAGCAGGGAGGCCTGGGTCGGGCAGGGACAGATCCTGTCCCGGTGGAGAAAGCCCCTGCAATAGGGTCCCAATACCCTAGCTCTGACCTGGTCAGTCCGCACGTAAGACAGCGGGTAGGACGCTGCCTTGCCTGACAGTTATAAAAGGCAGAAGGGCCTTTTCCCAGAGGCCTGAGAAGATGCCGGGCTGGGAGGCCTTTTGTGGTAGGTGATCATGTGATGGGAGCCCCTCTGTGCAAGCTCCCGATCCACCTAAGAGGTGGTCTGGACCCAGCTTCTTAACATAGGTTCACAAACTCCCAGAACCCACAGGCCAAAGAGTGCAATGCTTCTGCACCTCCCTGGGAGGGGAGCCGGAGCTCTCCTCAGATTCTCAAAGGGGTCCATTTACCCCATTAAATCACCAATCAATGATCTGGTCCAAATTCTCTTTTCTAAGCATGGGAAAACTGAGGCCTGAGGGGTGTGTGTGTATGTCTTGCCTGAGGTCACCCAGCAAGATAGTGGCAAAGCAATGTCATCACCAGCCACCGACAGGACCAGGCCAAGAGCATTTGTGGTTTCAAGGGCCAAGTGGCCTCTCTGCTTCTGAAGTCATCCATCAACTCCCTGCCCCCAGCCCAGGAAGTCTTCACCTGGGAGGTGGGAGGGCGGGGGAAGGAGGTGAAGCAGGCTCACTTCTAAAGACCAGTTATGCAGGTCTTACCCTCTGAGTGCATCACCCAGCTCCTACCAGGCTGAGCCCTGGTGTCCGGCAGGCTCTCTGGAATGACTTCTTAGCCCTCCTTTCACCACCCCTAGAGAGACACAGCTCTGCCCCCAGAGGACATCCAGGTGGTCTCTGGGGACCTGGGGATGAGGTGGGCGACATCCCAGCACAACAACCCAAGAGGAACCTCCTCGGCTCAGGCCCTGCCTGGAATCCTCATCTCCTTACCACTCCTCTCAGGATCCCCCTCCCTGTCAGGGTTGCTCACCCAAGGCTCCATCCAGATTCTGGAAGATACGGCAACGGTGGTCCAGGGTGATATTGATCCCCTCCTGCAGGAAAGAGGGCACCAGGCTGCAGCAGGGACAGGCCCTGGCAGAGGACAAGGCTCCATCACCCAGTGTGGGGAATCTGTCCTCCCACTTCTGCCACTTCCTTTCCCCACACCCACTTTGCCCTGTCACATCAGGGCAGCTGGGAGCCTTGGGAAGGCCAGCCAGTGGCCAAGACCCTGGGATCTACTAGTCTAGTGGCTCTATTCACAGAGAAGCAGGGACTCTCAGAACTGGAAGGAATCCAAGGAAACAGCTGGCTCAACTACAACAACAACCATAGTAATAACAAATGCTTGTTTAGCACTTTACTATGTGCCAATCACATCCTAAGTATTATATGTACATTAATTTAATCCACACAACACCCTTGAACATCCCACATGTCGCGGAGCAACTAAGCCCGCGCGCCACAACTACTGAGCCTGCGCTCTAGAGCCCACAAGCCACAACTACTGAGCCCGCGTGCCACAACTACTGGAGCCCACGTGCCTAGAGCCCGTGCTCCACAATAAGAGAAGCCACGGCAATGAGAAGCCTGCGCACCGCAACGAAGGGTAGCCCCCGCTCGCCGCAACTAGAGAGAGCCCGTGTGCAGCAGCGAAGACCCAACGCAGCCAAATAAGTAAGTAAATAAATAAATAAAAATTTTAAAAAACAAACAAACAAGGCACAGAGAGGTTGGATAACTTGCTCAAGGTCACACACTTAGTAATTGGCTAAGCTGGCATCTGAGCCTGGCAGCCTGGCCCTGAGGTCCACGTTCACTGCATAATGCTGCCTCTTTGAGATCTGACTGTGTCTCATGGAGCCCTAGGCCAGGCCAAGTGACACTCTAGGCTCAGCCTTCATCCCACAGAGAACAGCTCCACTGTTTTGTTTTAGACCATGGGCTTCTGCTAGCAATGTCACTGGAGGCAAAGGGGAAGGAGGAGGAAGGACTGAGCTAACTAAAGATCAAGTTCATAGTTTCCACTGCACAAGTCCAATTGCTTCATTTCATTATTTCATGGATAACCAAAATCGAGGCCCAAAGAGGGAAAGTGAGTTACCCTACATCACGCAGCACAGAAAAAACAGGGGTTGGGCGGGTAAGCAGGGAAGAATCCAGGAATACTGACGCCCCTCAAGGGCTCCCTAAATTTCCTGCCTGCCCAGAGGACACCGGCTGGCTTTGGGGCTACACTGGCCCAGTTCTACTGCCTCCATTCCCCTCAAAGATCTCTGCTTTTCTTTTCTTGGCCTTGCCACGTGGCTTGAGGAATCTTAGTTCCCCAACCAGGGATTGAACCCGCACCCTCGGCAATGAAAGTTCAGAGTCCTAACCCCTGGACCACCAGGGAATTCCCCAATGATCCCTGCCTTGAGACAGGCTGAGAGGCCTAGCTTCTGGGGCCCAGGTCCAGCCAAGATCACATCAGCCCCCTAGAAACCCTCCAGGTAGGGTTGGGCAGGGGCAGCTCAGCCTGTCAGTTCCTTTCATGACCATCCTCACCACCTGACATGAGGCTGTAAATTCCTTGTGTCCCCAGCTTGAAGGTCCACGAGGGCAGAGACCCCAACTGTCTTGTTCATTGCCATATCCCTGCCCTACACCTGACAGTGTCTCACACACCACAGGCATTCAATAAATACCTGCTGAAAAAAATGAGTGAATTGAAGAATAGATAAATGGAGTGTCAATGCCCAACCCAGGGGCTCAGACCTGGGGGGCAGGGGCTGCTCCCAGTGCCGCCTGGTCTGGGGGAATCCAGCATCAAGATCCCACAGTCCCACCCACTGCCTCTTACCCTCTTCTCCGGGTCCAAGAAGATCTTGGTGTAAAAGAGCTGGTCACTGTCACTGTCCTGACCCTCCCACTCGGCCACCAGTTTGCTGAGGTTGGGGGCATAACCGATGAAGCCTGGGGGTGGGGGACACACAGAGACAGACACTTAGCTTCCGGCCTCTAAGCCAGGGGCCTCTTCCCAGCCTCCCCTCTCATCCACCTCCCTCTTCCTTACCCATAAGCCCCGCCTCCTCTCAGAAGCCCTCCTGGATTGAGAAGAGGTTATGTCTACAGGTTGGAAACAGCCTGCCAGTTAATGCCACTTGGTGACAAGTTCCCACTGAGCACCAGCTCAGGTCCTGGGCACCACACAGGTGGTGAATAAATGAATTAGACCAGAAGCCCAGGAGAGCAGGGCTGGTGGGGCATAGGCTTGGAGCCCCTTTTATCTGAGAAGTTATCTGAGAAACTTGACCCAGAGAAGGGCAGAGGCTGAGCCAAGGTCACACAGTATAGGACGGCTTAGAGGGTAAGGCCCACACAGCCCCCAGGCTACAGTGCAGACTGGTGAGAAGGGAAGAGAAAAAGGAGAAGGTGGGCAGCCAGCGAGGGCCCTGCCCTAGGGGACACCTCTACCCCTGGGCCAGGGCCAGGCCATCTGGACTGTGCTAACTCTCTTGGCCAATGGGGAAACGTGGTCCCTGGGGGCGCATCCCCCTTCCTTGGCTGGACAGAGGAATCCAGAATAAAATATGGATTTTATTCTCCGTGCAGTAGGACGTCACTGAGTGATGTGTGCAGACTCGCATCCGGCTGCTGGGTGGAGGATGGACTGGAAGGCACGAGGGTGGAGGCTGGCAGAGCAGTTAGGAGACTACTGCCTATGCCAGGGGCCCCATGAGGCAGCGGCAAGGGGCGTGGACATGAGAGGGCAGATTCCAGGGATCTTTTGAACTGGAAGTGGTGTGACCTGCTGATGGACTAAGGTGCGGGAAGGCAAGGGAGGAATCAGGGGTGACTCCCGACTCCCTGTTTTGCCCTGTGCAGATGGGGGGCTATTGAATGAGACAAGGAAGATTGCAGAGAAGCTGATTTAAGGGTTAAAAAATCAGGAGTGCTACTGAGGTCATTCTGCATTCAGGACCCGTGAGCCATCCGCATGGGATGTCAAGCCAGGGGGGATCCGCACCCAGGCAGCAGACGGACCCCTCTGGAGCCTGCCCAGCCTGCCACACACTCCGCACCCGGGCCCCTCACCTCCAGAGCCCAGGAACCTCTTGCCGTCAGATACCACCGGGTACTTGGCCTCCAGCCTGCGGTCTGGGTAGATGAGCTCCTCGGCAGAGAAGACCACCTGGCTCCTGGCCTGCCGGAACTTCTTCAGGAGCTCTCGGGGCCCCGAGGCAAACACCACGTCGTAGCTATGGCCAGAGCCGGGAGAAGACAGGGCAGGGCAGAGGTGAACAGGGAGGAGAAGGGGCGGGGGAGAGGGAGGCAGGGGCTCAGGAGGGTACAGGCAGGAGGAGACCAGGGATCAAGGCTCCCCCCCTCCTCCCACGCCAGCCCCAGGCCACGTCTGGGAAATAGATCTGCTCTGTTGCCTTTGCCCCTGCCCACCACGTTTCCACCCCCTTCCTGGGCAGAGACGTGGTCCCCATAATCTGTGCCCATCTCACACTCAAAGCATAGCTCACCATACCTGGGCAGGCGCCCCCACCCATCTTTTCACCAAGAGTGGACATGGGTCTTTTCTGGGGTTCACAGACCCCTTAAAACTGCAGGCAACCTTAGCTAGAGTAACCCCCCTCATCCCTGATGTCCTGGCAGGACCTCATTCTAGAATATTCCTCTACCTCTCAGCTGCCTACCTGTCTGTGAAGAGAATGACCAGGTTCTCCTTGTCTGCGTGCTTCTCCAGGGCTTTCTTCAGTAGTCGAACCTTCAGCCCTCCACCTGCCGACATCTCCTTCTCCCCATGCCAGTCCTCCCCCAGCCCCAGCGCCTGCAGAGAAAGGCCCCTTAACATGAGCTTTTGGTAAAGAAAAGATCTGGCCAGCTCAATTTCCAACCCCACCTGGGCAGTGCACATCTGTGCTTCTGTCTGTGTCCAGCACCTCCTCCCCTCCCCGTGGGAAACCATTCTAAGACATATGTGGGGCTGAGCAGGCTCCTGGTGTGGTCATGTGACCATGGCTGGCCAATCAGAGTCTCCCACCTCTCCCAGAGCCATGAGTTTGAGCATGTAGCCCAAGTAGGGCCTATCAGAGTCTTCCCTGGGACTGTTCTGTTAAAAGTAAGGAAAGGTTGTCTTGTTCTGCTGAGGTTGTGAAGCTGGGGCATGTGGGTCTATGGCTGGTGGTCATCCTGCTACCATGTAGAGAGAGCATGTCTGCAAATGAAAACAAACAGGGCCTAGAGATGGAAAGACAAGGCCCTTACCATGCTGCTTGAACTCCTAGATCCAGCTATGCCTGAAGCAACCCGCTGCCTCAAGCCCCATTTATGTAAACTAATACACTTTCTTATAATGAATTTTAAAATTTTTATTTATTTTATTTATTTATTTTTGGCTGCATTGGGTCTTTGTTCCTGCACACGGGCTTTCTCTAATTGTGGTGAGCGGGGGCTACTCTTCATTGTGGTGCGCGGGCTTCTCATTGCAGTGGCTTCTCTTGTTGCGAAGCATGGGCTCTAGGTGCGCAGGCTCCAGTAGTTGTGGCGCATGGGCTTAGTTGCTCCTCGGCATGTGGGATCTTCCTGGACTAGGGCTCGAACCCCTGTCCCCTCCATTGGCAGGCAAATTCTTAACCACTGCGCCACCAGGGAAGCCACAAACTAATACACTTTCTTTCTGGCTTAAAGCCACTAAGCTGTGTAGGCAAGCTGTGTAGGCAGTGCCCTGGTCTGTCTCGTCCATCATTCTGTCCCCAATGCCAACCACGGCACCTGACACAAGGAGGCACTCAGCACACTCAGTGAAATGGAGGAATCTCTCCCTGCAGGGCTCAGCCCCACAGACTGCATGCACAGGACATGAAATCCATGCCACCAATGGACATGGCGTTAGCTTGTGCTTCTTTACAGCAGTGTTTATACAGGTAAGATATCCAGACAAGGGCATCCCCAAATCACCTGGGAGGCCTTGTGGAAATGCTGATCCCCAGGCCCTACCCTCTAAACTAGCCACAGGTCCCCAGGTGAGTCTTATGCACTAACATGAGTACGCCCACATACCTCTCGAGTCTCACCTTCCACACACCCTCTATCTCCAGCATCTCCTAGACTTTGCTTATGTTCTTCCCATCTTACTTTTCCAGAAGATTTCCCTTTGGGCCCAAGTCAGTTTGGGAAAGGCAGACATCCAGCTCCTGGACTCTCCCACCACCCCTCGGCTATCCCTGCCTCACCTGGGGAGCCCCTTACCTGGATCTTGTAGTTGAAGAACTGAGCTGAGCGCTTGAAGCGTCGGAACCCCTCGGTCTCCTTTGTGGCCACCGTGAGGACCAAAAGGTTGTCTAGGGACAGAGAAGGGAATGAAGGATGAAGAGAGGTGACAGCAGGAACGGATGACCATGCCCAGCAGGATGTGTCAAATCCCACAGGACGTATCTTCATGTCAACCCATTATAGACAAGGGCCCAGGGCCCAGATAGGAAGAGACACACCTAAGATTACTCAGCTGGTTAATGACAGAGCTGGGACATAACCTGGGTCTCCCAATTCTCCTTCAGGGCTCCGTTCATCTGGTAACTGACCAATGTGGCAGGAAGTACCCAAAGCAGAGGTGTCTGCACCTTGCATTGTGAGACTGGGTCTCTCTGGATTTAGGAGCAGAGGAAAGGATTTGCTCTGAATGCTGAACAACAGGAGGACCTCTCTGGCCAATATCAGACATTAGCCTGGCAACAATCACAGCTCTCCATGCCCGCACTCAGGGCAGACATTGCTAATCAATCCCAACAGACTTTCTTGCTGAGCCTCACTTGGCCTTGGATTCTCCCAACACTGTGAGAACCAATAAGAGCTGGCCTGCAGTGGAAACTGACTTGAAATCCTGGCCTTTGGCCAGAGTGGCTATGCTACCTTTTTAACAAGGGACCTCTCTGGGCTCTGTAGTGTGGCTTCACCTCTGCAACAGAACCTGCTGAAAACACTCCCAGATGCCATTTCTGGGAGCCGTGAAGAAGCACCTCCCAGACCATACTTTGAGGCTGTGTTCTACGAGAAGTGAAGGCTCTGGGAGTCCCCTGGTGGCCTAGTGGTTAGGATTTCGGGCTTTCACTGCTGAGGCCCTGGTTCAATCCCTGGTCGGGGACCTGAAATCCCACATGCCACGCTGCACAGGAGAAACAAACAAACAAAAATTCCCTGTAGCTGGCCTGGTTAGGCTCCTAGCTCTGCTCCTTACCAACTGTGCAACCTCGGGAAAGTCCTTGACCCTTCTGAGCTGGTTTCCCCCTTGTAAAATAGGGATAGTAGTAGTACCTACTTCCCAGGGCTGCTGGACTAATTAAATGAGATCAGGCCTGTAAAATCCTTGTTGGGATACTGGCACACACTAAGCTATTATTGGTGCTTATTACTGAGAGGCAAACGCCTTGCTCTGGCATTCAAGGCCCCCGTTGATTGGCCTGGTGGCACACTCATTCCCTCCATTGAGTGGGCCCTCCTCCTGGCTGGGCTCCTCCCTCCTGCTAGGGCTCCCTCTCTCTGCTCTTTCTCTAACCTTCCTCCAGGTCCCAGGGCCAGTGATACTTCTTCCCTGCCACCACCTCTATGAAGCCTTCTTGGATTTCTCCTGACCTCTCTCTGGGCAGAGGGCAGGACCCCACTTTGCAGCGCCCATCATTGTTTCACTAAGTGAGCCTTACTTCCCTGGGGTCCAGGTCTTAACACTTTTCTGGGTGAACAGACTCACCAAGTGGCCAGGCCAGCACAGGCAGGTAAGGCCCTCCCACCTCGACCTCCCCAGGAAGTCAGGAGGAGCCTGGGCTAAAAGAACAAAGGAGTCCAGCTTGACAGAGCTGGCTGAGCCGAGGGGCAGGCTGCTGGTCCCAGAGCAAGGGGTTGGTGCCAGGTGGCCCAGCCAGGATTGGCAAGAATCTGCTGCGGGTGGGTCCAGAGACCTGGGGCAGAAGCGGGTGGATTCATTAGGCAGATATGGAGAGGGGAGACCTCACCATCTGACCCTGGGGTCCAGGAAAGAGGGGTGCTGCTCACACTTGGGGAAGGGCTCCCCCCAGCTCCTGCCAGGATGGTTAAGTCTGCCCTCAGGCAAACAGAGCCAGAGCCCCAGCTCTGAGGCCCTCTTGTCGACAACAGGGGCTGCTGGGGACAGGAAGAGTGTCACATTTCATGGATGGAAAAAGCCAGCGTGTGTATCTATGTGAGATTCTGGATTCTCCATTGGACCAGGGCTCCTGAAGTCAGGAAGTGGGGGAGGGGAAGTGAGGAACCCAAGACTCAGACACCGTAACCTGCCCAAGGGAGCCACGAAGTGGCAGCACCATGATTTGGACACAGATACCCGGACCCAGAATCCCCTCTCTTCACCTCTGCATGCACCGCTCAGGCCTGGGACGTGGCCAGGCGTCCATCTCCATCTGTCTAATGAGACTGTCCAGCTCAGGCCATGCTGGACCCTCCCCACATGCCCAGCCTGTCTCCACTCAGTTTTCCTGCCAGGTGCTCGCAATGGTGCCTTAACAAATCCTGGGTTCCTTGGGCAACACAACGCCCACTCTCCTGGCCAAGGACCCCACAAAATCCCCCAGTGCAGAGGGCCCCAAACCTGCCTGCATATTGGCATCACAAGGGAGGCTGTGAAATCCACATTCTTGGGCCCCAGGACCACAGATCTGAGATGGACCCAGGAGTCTGGATTTGTCCTACATTCCCCTGGTGATTTCTGATGTCAGCCACGTTTAGAAACCGCTGGTCCAACCCATCCCTTGGTCCTCTGACTCTGGGCTCCAATGCAGGGGCCTGGGAGGTGGTTCACAGCAAGAGAACTCAAGGCAGGCCACTCCCCTAAGGGACCCTGGCATCACCCCTCAACACCCCCATGAAACTGCGTCGCTGAACCCAGCCGGCACCCCATTCCTTTGTCCTGCCTGCAAAGCTTGCTCCTTCCCCTGAAAAGGCCCCAGGCCACTTCCTCCAGGAAGCCCTCCTCAATCTCATCCCCTTACCCAGTCAGTCCTCGGCCCGTGAAGTCTCCGTGTGCACAGTAGGTGAAGTACCGGTACAAACCTCCTCCTCCCTTTGCCAGGCCAGGCCCACGTCTCTATTTCCTTGGTGTCCCTCCCCCTCCCCAGGACTCGGAGTGAGTGTGACTTGGGCCTCAGGTGCAGTGTCTGGCCTTCAGGAGCCCTGTGGAGATGACTAGTAAGCGCTAGCACTGTTGAGCCTTTTCTAGATGCCATGCACCTTGTGAAGCGTGTTACGTTCGTTATCAAATTTAACCATCAACACCCTGTGCGGTAGGGGATATTTCTACCCCCCCTTCTACAGGTGAGGAAACTGAGGCACAGAGCGGCTATATAACCTCGAGGTCACAGGACCTCGAAGTGAGAAGGAAACGAGCTGGAATTCCAAATGCCCATGCCCTTCACCACACTGTTTCCCTGTCCAACATCCCGGAATGCTGGGAATCCCAGCTGTAGACTGAATCCAGCATTTCCAGCCACCTTCTCTCAGGCCTCCCCAGTGTGGGCACCCGCTCCAGTCACTGGATGAGGTCTCTTCCCAGCTCACTGCACATCCAGAGCTCTGGGCAGCCTACAGGGTGACAACGTGGCCCAGGGCCCCGCCCACCTGCTTCTGTCTGGCCCAGCCAGCCGCCTTGGGCTGGGGCCAGGGCCCACATGAGGCCCGACATACAGGGCTCTTGGTCCCCCTGACCCGCTGCTCAAAGTCCAGCAGTGGTTTCCCCAGATGGATGACCCATGATCCAGGGTCAGCAGAGACAAACCAGAGAGCAGGGTGGAGTGGCAAACTGCCACAGATTGCTGGGACAGTAACTTAGCCTCTCTGTGCCTCTGTTTTCTTATCTGTAAAATGGGAGTAATAACAATAGTACCAGGGAATTCTTTGGTGGTCCAGGAGTGGTTAGGACTCTGCGCTTTTACTGACAAGGGCCCGGGTTCAATCCCTGGTCAGGGAACTAAAGTGCTGCTCTGGGGGGCAGGGATGGAGAGGCGCTGCCTTCCTGAGAGTGAGAATGACGGGGAGTGGGGGGGGCACGGGGGCCTTGCGGGGAGTGCAGACATCTCTCTGGGATCCTAAGAGAAGGCTGAGGACTCAGGCCCTGTTCGGCTGTGCTCCTTCAGATGCCACCTCCTCTCCCCAAGCAGTGCCGGTCCAGGCAAGGGGGTGGATGGTCAGCGTGTGGCCTTGGCTCCCAAGGCACGGTCATGACACACCCAGTCTGCTCTCTGGGGAGGCAGGAATGAATGAAGCTCCTCTCCCATCCCCCACACCCACCTGGGGCTGGAACAGAAGCCAGGAGGTGGGGATTCCCAGGGCTGGAGCCAGCCCTGCCTCTTCCCCAGGTCTGGCCTCCCACTCATTTCTGCCACCTCAGGGCTCCTGAGACTCCCCCACCCTGACACACACACAGCCAGCTGGGTCTGCCTGCTTCTCCATTTCCTGCGGCAGAACAGCACGACCTGAAGCTCCCACCCAAGCCCAGCCGGCATCCCTGGAGTCTCAGGTCTCAGCGGCCATCAGGCTCAGGCTGCTCCTTCCCTCTCTGTGGCCAGATGAAGGCCTGCAGGGAAAGGCATAGGCCCAGGGAGAGAGGGGGTCTCAGCCAGAAGCAACTACAAAAAGAAGGACGGGGGCTTCCCTGGTGGCACAGTGGTTGGGAGTCCGCCTGCCGATGCAGGGGACGCGGGTTCGTGCCCCGGTCCGGGAGGATCCCGCGTGCCGCGGAGCGGCTGGGCCCGTGAGCCGTGGCCGCTGGGCCTGCGCGTCCGGAGCCTGTGCTCCGCAACGGGAGAGGCCACAACAGTGAGAGGCCCGCGTACCGCAAAAAAAAAGAAGGACGGACCATGTTGCTCCTGGACTCTCCCACCCCCTCAGCTCTGCAAATTTGCTTGTTTGGATGCCGCTTTGTTGAAGGCCTTTTTCTTTCCCCCACATCAGTCTGGGGCCCCCCCAGCGCAGGGCACTGTCTCCTCCCTCAGGCACAGGGCTCTCTGGGAGCAGAGGGCTGTGTCTCCCCCATCAGACTGGGCATCCACTGGGGTGAGGAGCTCTGTGTCCTCCCTCAGATTGGGAGCACGCTGAAAGGGACAACTGTCCCTCTTTCTATCCGTGTATCTCCTGGCAACACCTGCCCCCCCATCTGGAGCTGGGGGTCAGCAGGAATGAGCAGAGGGTCTGAGTCCCAGTCAATGATGCCACTTCCAATCAGCTGTGGCAACCTGAGACCAGGTGTTTAACCGTTTAGGGTCTCAGTCTTCCTATCTGTAAAATGAGGCCAATGATTCCTTATGTATCAAAAGGGTCTGAATGGAGCAAGGGAAGCACAGGGCCTCAAACTTGAGAGCGGCCTGACTTTCGCCACATGCCTGGGGACCCGCTTACTATCTACTAGGTGCTTTACCTGGATTATCTCAGCAACACCCTGAATCCTGTACCCTCTGTGGGGGCTGCCTTGTGTCTACTTTGTCCCCTCCCATCACCTGCTAGGGGTCAGGGCACCTGAAGCCTTGTCATCAATTTGGTCCCTCCAACTCATCTCCCAGGCTTCATCACCTCCCTGGGCAGCTGGAGATTTTCTCCTGGGATGGTCTGGGGTGGAGGGAGCCTACATCAGCAAAAGCAGAGGGAAGAGAGGCCCAGGGGGAAAAAAAGCCAGCAACTGGACCCAGGCCACAGGACCTCTGCACACACCGCCAGCCCAGCCCTGTGCTTAGCACCTCCCTCACTGTATTTTTTGACCTGTCTTACTGCCCTGCTGGGATACTCCAGGAAAGCTGGCAGCGCTGGGCCAAGAAAGAAAATACCTTTATGGGCTGGGCATTGAGCTGAACTCTCACCAACAGGCCTCATCCCACGGAATCCTTGTCAAGAGCTCTAGAACGCAGGTATCATCACACCTGTTTTGCAGGCTAGAACGGCAAGCCTCGTGGAGATTAAGCACCACTGTTTTACCACGGGAGACGCGTGGCCTTGGGCAGAACCTGGCACAAAGGAAGTACTCAAGAAATGGTGGTTCCCATCCCTTTTCCTGGCCCAAGGGTCTGCTAAACTACCATCCTGCCCCACTCTGGTTCCCAGTTTCCCTAGAAGAGTGGGCCAAGGGGAACGGGGGATGATGGAGGGTGTGGTCAGTCTGGCTCTGCTTTGCTGGGACTGCCAGTGGTCTGTGTCCTCCTGGGGCTCTCAGATGCTGACTGGGCGGCCCTGCAGGTGGTCCAGGGAGGGCTGGGGAGGAGAGTAGCACCCGCTCAGGATAGTGGGACACACTTTGAAATCCAATCTGCCTTGGGGTTGTAGAAAAAGCACTAGACCCGGAGTCCAGCAGATCTGAGACCCACCGCTCCAAAGATGGATCCCCCTGGGCAGTCACTACACCTGTCTGGGCCTCAGTTTCCTCATGTGCAACCCGGAGAGAGTAAGACCCACCTGGGAGGGGTAGAGCAGACCACTGAGGACACGGGTGAAAGTACAAACGGCTCTGTGATGTGAGCCACCCCTTCTGTCTCCCACCCCGCCCAGGTGCCCCGCACTCCATAGTTATGAGGCCTAGGTGTGAATCCTGATTTCAAAGCCCACAAGCGGTGTGACCCTGGGCAAGTGAATCAACTCTGGAGCCTCAGTTTTCCCAGCTAGAAAATGGAAATGACAGAAGGATGCACTTCCGAAGGTTAGCGTCCTGCTTAACCGACGTCTGACTCATAGCCAGTGCCCCACAAACGTAGTTATCGTCCTTATTATTATGAGTGCTATTATTATTTGCCCCTCTGGGTAATGAACGGGACTTGGGCCGTTCCTCCCCTCCAGCTGCCCGAAAGTGGGAAACGCAACCCTAAGAGGGGAAGTGCCTTGTCCAAGTCACCACTGAGTCAGTGGACAACTGGCCTGAACCCAGAACCCCTCGGAAGCCCAGGCCTCCCCTACAGGCCGGTCCTAACGGAGGCAGCCCCCAGACCAGCCCACCTGCCCCCATCCCCCCCACCCCACCTCCGGCCCCGGATCCCCCCTCCCGCCCCCGGCCCGGAGCCCTCACCCTCCGGCTTGGCATCACCCTTCGTTTCGACAAGGAGCAGCCAGCCCAGCGGGGCCAGGAGCAGCTGGAGCCGCATGCTCCGTGTCTGGGAACGTCCGGCGTGTCCAGCGGCGCTCGCTCGCAGGCTGGAAACTTCCCGACGGGGTCGGCGATCCCGCTGCCACGCACTGGGCCCGCCCCGGAGGCGGTGTCGCGCCGTGCTGCCGGGGGGAAGGGTTTCCTGCAGACTCGCCCGAACCCGCCGCCTCTCCGAGTCCGGGCAGCTCCCTGCGGGCCCGTCCCTGCGGCTCCCGGGTCCTTCCGCCGCCGGCCTCCTCCCTCCCGTCTCCGGGGGGCTTCACTCCGACCGGAAAGAGGAGGGGAGACGGGGGCGAGGCAACAATTTCTATACCCCGGACCCCGCGCCAAGCCTTGATGGTATTAATAAACGTGAGCCTCGGTTTCCTCTCTGGAAAGTGGGGCTTATAATGGTATCTATGCGTTGGGCCTTGCACGGGTTAATGACATTGTTACCTGCAGTGCCCTTAGAACAGCCCCTCGATAAGCCCTCAGTAAATCTCAGCTATTCAGATTTCATTCGCCCTTGTCCAAAGCCCTGGGCGTGAGGGTCTGAGCCTGGAGCGGGCGAGGCCTGGCAGGAATGTGTTCAGAGGCATCCCAAGACCCTCCTGGCTGCTTGCAAGTGCATCACCGCCCCGCAAAAAGGGACTCACTTAATCTGCCTTTTTGTCCCTGGGAGGCAAAGGGAACCTCTGAGACAAGGAAGGTCTTGTTCCTGAGGTCACATTGTTGAATGAATGGATGAATGAATGAATGAGAGAGAGAGAGAAGAAAGTGAGGGAGGGAGGGAAGGAGGGATGAAGGAAGGAAGGAAGGAAGAAGTTGTTTAGGGTCTCTTCACAGATGTGGGTCTTCAAAACACAACTCAAGCGTTTCTAGAACAAGGGTTCCTGGAGCAGATGTCAGCTAGAGGCAGCCATCTCTGGGAAAACAACAACAATTTTCATCCTTGGAAGAGACCCTCAAAGGGAGATCCTTTCCAGCAGGTTAGGCTCCAGAGGAGTGGGGAGTGGGTACAACCCTGGGTGGGCAGGGGGTTCCCCACCCACAGGGGGAAAGGGCAGAGGGGGGAGGAATGTCATGATTATCAATGAACAACATAAAGCAGGCCATGTTAGGTCCTGGGGAAAAGAGAAATCGGAAATACTCTTAAGACTGATTCAGCCAGGGTAATGCACTACCAACATGACGTTACATGGGAAAAGCAGTATATACTGTATGACCCCACTTAGCGAAAATATATCCTTACAGGTACAATGCATAGAGATGATGCTAAAAGAAAATGACAGCCAAATATTTACAGTCATTATTTCCAACTTGTGGGAATGTGTGTGTGTGTTCTTGCCAGGTAGTTTTTATCTTCTTATTTATATTTTTCATTGTTTTTACAATCATTTTACAATGAATGTATACTATTTGTACAACCCAAACAAAGCCAACACATGTTCTTTTTAGACGATAGGTACAATCCCTGCGAACCTGGGAAATTATCTCACTGAACAGAGATTTACTCGTGGTAAAGATGGTAGAAGTAAGGCCCAGGGGGACCCAACAGCAAGCTCAAATTCGAAAGGCAAGTAAAGGGAAGAGGCAGGAGTGCAATCCAGGGCTGCCACCCAGTTGGGACCTGGGACCTAGGGTGGGGAGTTTCTGCAGCTGGGGACAGGACATGGTGCCAGAATCCACCGGATGTTTTTGAATTCAGGAGGATGCAGACTGAAATTCCAGCTCCTTTGAGGAGGAAATGGAGGGATAAGCAGAGGGGAAGAGGAGCATGTGTTGAGTGGCTCAATTTTCAAAGCTCTGGCTTATGCCATGTTCCCCACAGCCCTGCCAGTTAGGCAGTATTGCCCCCATTTGTGAAATAAGGAAACCGGGGCTCAGAGATGTGAAGCAACTTCCTCAAAGTCACACAGCTGATGGGGGACCACAGTAAGGGAGGCGACTTTGGAAACCGGCTCTAACTTCCCTTTTGCTCGGGCCCAAGAGAACCTCAATGGTGGCATACTGTGGACGGAAAAAAAATCCTTGCGCAGTGGAGTTCCCAGAGTCATTGCAAATCGGGAGGGGGGATCAATCTTGGAGGCTGCTGGCCGCCCCTGGAGAAAGGATTCATCCTGGTGAAGCCTGCCTGCCACCCTTCACCAAACTGCTGGAACTTGAAATCGGTCCAAGCTTCATCCAAAAGGAGGACTTGTCTCTTTAACCAGGGGTGGCTGCTGCCTAGATGTTACTCAGGGTAAGTGCTGCACCTGTTGTGCACAGTTAAAGGCACAGGACTCTGCTTTTCTGGGAAGCAGAAAGGATAGCTGGACTGGAGGGTAGTGGTCTGGTGCCACAAGGGGTTTTTCTCCCTCTCATCCTCTGCTTTTCTCCATTTTTACCATTTCCTTTCTTGACCCGAGGAAGAGCGATGGCCTCAGTGGACAGCCACGCTCTCTGCTGCCAGCCGATTCTCAGCCTCCTCCCTGTTTACACCCATCAGCGAGTCCCACTGGCGCCTACCCCCTTTGATGATGATGATAATAATAATAATAATGGAATTTCCAAGCTGTTCCCTTAAACAAAAAAAGTAATATGCTACAATGTCCGTGAAGGGAAAAATATAGGTCTCTGTCTATATGGCTATATATCTGTAAGTGAATAGAATTTCTGGAAGAGCACCCAAGGAACAGGAAGCAGTGGTTGCATCTGGGAAGAGGAACTGACTAGCTGGGACTCCAGGAAAGAGGAAGGCTTAATGGCCACTCTTCACCCTTTCATATATGTTGAATTTTGTGTCATGTACATGTGTTTCCTGCTTCCTAGTAAAAATAAATAAAATAATGAATGGTTATTTTAAGCCAGGCAGTATGCTAAATGTTTAACTTGTTTATCTAACTTAAGTCTCAGAGCAATCCTACTCTGTCTCATGATCCCCATTTTATGGATGGAGAAACCAAGGCCCAAAGAAGTTAGCTGACTTGCTAGCAAGGGGCAAGGCCAAGATTTAAAACCCAGGCAGCCTCGTGCCTGTGTCCTTACTCTTGACCTCCTGGCTTTGTTGTGGCTATGTTGCTGATCGTGGGCTGTGATTCCCTCCCCTGGGGTGTTTGAGAGTGGTAAGGGAGTTAAGAGCACCAGCATGAACCTTCTCTTTAACGTAGGAATCTACTTCCAGGAATTGCTCCCCCAGAAACAGTCTCAAAAGTAGGCCTATATATGTCTATTACACAGACATTCATAATAGCGAAAAATAATTATGTGGGTTTACATTTACTGTGTACTTACCCCATGTCATGCACCTTGCTTGCTTTGCCTGTATTAACTCACTTATTCCTCAGAAACCTGAGAGGCAGTTTCTCTGGTCATCCCCATTTTACAGGTGGGATCAAGCCTGGTTCAGTCCTTTGCTCTCATCTCACTGTGCCTCCCAAGTGTTTCTGCCTCCCTGAGGGGCTTGGATGGATCCTATCTCTCTAACTGTAGGTTATGGATTCCTGCACATCCATGAAGTTATTCTGTGGGGTTTGTGAAATCCTGGTGGAAATTAAGAATTTTGTGTGTATGTTTTGATAATGATCTTAAAAAAGAAAAAAAAGAAGGTAAGCATACTGTAGGATCACCTGGACAGCTGCCTTCTTATAGGGTGCTGGCCCTAAGACTTGGCAAACACACATGTGTCTGCTCACAGCCCACAAGAAGCCACCTCAAATGACCATTTAATTTTCAACAACTGGGAAGCACTGTCTGGCTTTGGAATGTCCTGAAACTAAAGTGGAAACAATCGCCCCATTGTCTGCCCCTGTGCTCAGATTGAATTTTTTCCCCAGAAACAAAATTTGTCTTTTGCATTGATAATACACAATTTAAAAGCATTTTCAAAGCATGAGACTTTAGTGTTTTATGTTATTTAATAAGTTAAGACTCACGGTTGACATCAAGAAGACGACTTGGTGTGGTAGAGAAATGGACAGTCCTGGGCCTGATTTGTATCCTATATGCTGTACATGCAGCCAGACAGGTCTGGAAGAGTCGTCAACAAAATATATCCTAGGAAGTCTGGTTGACAGTGTTTACTTTTCTTTTTCTTTCTTTCTTTCTTTCTTTTTCTGGGGGGTACTATTCTGTACTAAGTCTTTTTTTTTTTTTTTGCAGTGAGGATCATTTTTACAGAAAAAAAGTTTTAAAATTATTTTTTAAAAATCTTGGGGCTGTTGAATCCATTAGTAGCGAATGGGGCACAACACGTGTTCGGTTTGGCTAGCGCGGTTGGTCTGTTTTAAGTTCCCATGAATTGGCCGCTTCCAGTCCTCCGCAGACCCCTCTCCTCTTCTGGACTCGACTTTTCAGGCCCGAGAACTGGTGGTCAAACCCCGGCGGTGCCCGCCCCCTCCTCGCTGTGGCCACGCCTCCTTCTCCCGGGCCCGCCCCTCTCCCCTCCCTCCGCCCTCCCCTTTTCCATCTGTCGCAAAAGAGTAGGTGGCGCTTGACGGCCCGCGTCGTTTGACGGCCGGAGGCAACCGAGAAGGAGGAGGGAGCAGCTGTGGCGGCTGCCGCGGCGCCTGTGACGGGGGCTGGGGTGGGCGCCGCGGTCCGGGCCCGGGAGTGAGGCGCGGGCGGCCGGGCCGGTGGGCTGGGCGGCGGGCCCGGCGGCCGCCCCCGCGCCGCGCCCGCGCCTGGCGGCCCGATGTGGCTGCAGCAGCGGCTTAAGGGGCTGCCGGGACTGCTGTCGAGCAGCTGGGCCCGCCGCCTACTCTGCCTGCTCGGCCTCCTGGTGCTGCTTCTGTGGTTCGCGGGCTCCGGGGCGCGGCGGGCGGCGGGCGGTCTGCAGCTGTTGCCCTGGCCCCGCGGCGAGCCGGGCGCCGCCGAGCCCTCTGCCTGTCTGGAGGCAGCCACCCGCGCGTGGCGCGGCCTGCGGGAGCGGGGCGAGGCTGTACCGCTGGGCCCCGGAGTGCCGGCCCTGGTGGCCAACGGCTTCCTGGCCCTGGACGTGGTCGCCAACCGGCTGTGGGTGACCCCCGGGGAGCGGGAGCCCGCCGTGGCGCCGGACTTCGTGCCCTTCGTGCAGCTGCGCCCGCTGAGCGCGCTCTCTGAAGCTGGAGAGTCAGTGTTGCTGCTGCGGGAAGGGCTGCTGCGGCGGGTGCGCTGCCTGCAGCTCGGGACTCCGGGTCCCGGCCCTGCGGCCGCCGGCCCGGGCCCCGCCTCGGCCTCCGGCC